TGTTTCACATATATTTGCTCCTCAAGAAAGCTCGATAAAAGGACTCAATCACTGACTGAAGGAATATTTAAGCAAGGAGAAAAGTACACTAGTGCTGGTGAGAGTTTGGTCCTAGATACTCCCTCAATTGAGTATTGGGCAACTGCATTTGAAGAAAAGCAGGAGAGGCTAAAGCACCAAAAGGAAGACATTGAAGAAATTTTGAAGACTCAATGCATGCAACTTGGAAAGATTGCAAGGAAGGAAGTTGAAGAGTGGCTAGAGAAAGCAGGCCAACAGATTGGCATAAAGGTTGAAGGTCTGATCAACCAAGGGGAATGTTCCTCATCAACCAACCTCAAGAAAAACATTGAAGAATTGAAGCAAATACTTGAGGAAGGAAAGGAATTTACTAATGCTGGTGTAAGTTTGGTCATAGATGATCACTCAATCAAAGGAGTTCCACTACTCGTTAAAGAATGCAGGGGCAGGGATGATATACAAGATCAAATTCTAGAATGGTTGAAGGGAGATGAGGTTACAAGAATTGCAGTTTCAGGAATGGGCGGTGTGGGCAAGACAACAATTATGAAGCAGGCCCACAACCAACTATTGAAAGAATCCAAATTTAACAAAATTATTTGGGTAAAAGTGTCAAGAGACTTTGACATTATTGTCCAGCAAAAAAAGAAGTTTGATATTCTCAAGTTTCAAAAAAGGATTGCAAGTAGCTTGGAATTAAAACTGGAGCCCGAGGATCATGACAATGAAACCAAGCTTGCAGGATTGATTTCACAAAAGTTGAGGCAAGGCAACTCTCTGCTAATTCTAGATGATGTGTGGCAGCAATTTTGTCTAGAAGATGTTGGAATTCCTATTCTAGATGGAAATAATGGTTGCAAGGTGGTGCTCACGACACGGTTACAAGATGTTGCTCGTGGGATGGAGTGTGAGGTGGTCATGGTGAGTCCTCTTCCAGCTAATGAAGCATCAGCATTATTTTGGGAGAAAGTTGGAAGTGATGTGTTTTCAGATGGAAAAATTAAAAGAGATATAGAGCCATTTGTGAAGAAAATTTTGCAAAAATGTGATGGAGTACCCCTTGCTATTGTGACAGTGGCAAAATCAATGAGAGGGAAATTACTTCCTCGTCATTGGAAGTTGGCACTTTCTGAATTTAGTAAATTTGAAAGTATTATCGATTGTTTGAAATTCAGTTATGAATGCCTAGAATCACAATGCCAACAGTGTTTTTTATATTGTGCATTGTATCCTGAAGATCATGAAATCCTAAAGGAGGAATTAATTGAGTATTGGATTGAGGAGGGGCTTATATATAAAGAAGGGAAAACTAGGGAGGCAATGAATTGGAAAGGTCATGATATAGTCGATAAGCTAGTTGACAACTGCTTGTTGCAATCGGTTAAAAATATAGACAACCAAGAATGTGTGAGTATGCATGATCTTCTCCGAGAAATGGCACTGGAAGTCAGTCAATTTTTTGTGAAAGCTGGCATTGCCTTGGAAAAGCTACCAGAAGAGGATGAATGGAGAGATTGTTTGAAGGTTTCTTTAATGAGGAATCACATAAAAGAAATTCCATCAAGCATGCCTTCTCTAAAGTGTCCTATGCTCACAACCTTGCTATTATCCAACAACAATATTTCAACCATTCCAGAAGCTCTTTTTGAGCATATGCTTGGGCTCAAGATTCTTGATATTTCCCACAATCTTGAGCTAAGTAGGCTGCCGAGTTCTGTTTCCAAATTAGAGAAGCTTACTACATTATTGCTGGGGAATTGTGGCTTCTTAGAAGAGGTACCGTCTTTATCCAACCTTGTAGGCTTAAAAAAGTTGGACCTTTCCTGGACATCAATTGAAGAACTACCCCAAGGCCTCAATATGTTAACAAATCTAAAATATCTTAGTCTTGGTGGAAGATTATCTGAAACACTTGATGAACAGCTACAAAATCTCTCCAAACTTCAGCATTTACTAGCAAATGCTTATCCCGATGCCGAAACAAAATATAAATGGGAGACGATTGGAATTTGGGGGAAGCTTCAAAAACTTGAGAAGCTGGAACTTGGTTATTTGGATAACTTGAATATGGTGTTTGGGGAAGTAGGAGCAATTGCTGAGTCAGCACCGCTACCAGCTGGCACATTTTCCTCTCTTCAATATATTAGTGTTATTGAATGTGATAAAATAAAGATGTTATTCTCAGTTAGGTGGTTGGGATATCTCCAGAAACTACAAACTATTGAGGTTACTTATTGTTGGCAAATGGAGGAGATAATAGGGTCTGAATCTGAAGAAGGAGAAAAAGTCACTCTACCCAACTTAGAAAGCTTGAGATTGGGCTCTTTGCCCCAATTGAAGAGCATCTATAATGGTTCTTTGATTTGTGATTCCATCAAGAAAATTAAAATTTTCAATTGCAAAAATATAGAGAGTGCTTTTTGGTCAGGGTTCAACCCACTTCCAAATCTGGAATATCTATGCCTCTTTGAATTACAAAGTTTGAAATGTGTATTTGATGAAGAAAGTCTTGGTTTATCACCACTTGTACCTCCCACAAGCTTTTTCCCTCTTAAAGAAATTGAGGTTCTTGATTGTCATCAATTAAAGAAGGTATTCTCATCTGGATGGCTGCTCCACTACTTCCAATCTCTAGAGACTATTAAAGTTGAAAATTGTCCGAAAATGGAGGAGCTGATATCGTCATCAGCACATGAAGAAGGAAAAGTCACTCTACCCCAGTTACAAAGCTTGAAATTGATTGAATTGCCACAATTGAAGAGCATCTACAGCAGCTCTGGTGTGTTTATTTGTGATTCCATCCAGAGTCTGATAATTTACAAGTGTGAGAAGCTAAAAAGGATTCCTCTGAATTTTCACTTGCTTGATAATGTCCAATCATCTCATCCTCCTTCCCTCAAAAAAATTAGGGTATACCCAAAAGAATGGTGGGAATCATTGGCATGGGACCATCCCAATGCAAAAGACAACCTTTGACCCTTCTGTGAATTTCGGCAGATTTATTGGTGATCCTAGGCAAATTGATTAGTGGTAGGGTAGGAGGCACTACAAATGTAAGCCTTTTAATCTTCAATTTTCCCTATGTAATTCAACTCAATAAGAGTTTTCATCTTTATGCTTCCTTTTTCCATTCTTTCTACTTAATAAATCTCTCTCTCATTGGCAGCAAAATTGGAATTCAGCTGTGTAACCACAAGAAAGTCGAAGGAAATCACATTTGCATTTGTTGTTGTTGTTGTTGCTGTTGTGTTTTCAATTTAATATAAACTTGCTATTCTTCATTTTTCTTTTTCTATGTCTGCACTAAGTGTTTAAATATGTCAAATTGTAAGTGAAAAATTGGAAATGTTTGTTTCTTTATTATCTGTGTAATGTTGCCTTTGAAACCATGTGGGAAAAAGACTTGAAACTGTATTTGTTTTTCTTGTAATATGTATTTCAGTTTATTGCATTTGCATGTCTCTTCTCAAATTTCATTCAACAACATTATCATAATCAACAACAACCAAGACTTACTTTCATCAACAATAGTGGCACACTCTGTTATTTATCTCCTCAGAATTGCCCAAGAAGGACTAGCATTCAGGTCAGAGTACACTCCTCTTCTCTTTTTGACTTTTTTTTTTTTTGGTTTTTTTTTTATTTGTGCATCTTCAACATTAAACTGTATTTGCCTTTTTTTTTCCATCAACATTAGGTTCACTTATTTAAAAATTTGATAGTGTAACTATGAATCATGCATTACCTGTTGTGTGCTATCTTCTGTTTACCTTGGGGGATTTAGCAAAAATCATGTTGCGATAGTTGCATGTGTATTGAGACAACTACAGAGGGAAATTTTAGAGCTTTCTTTCTCCCTTTTAAGTTCTCCTTAATTGTTAGTTTGTTACAGTTTTGCAGTTCATTTCTAGCCCTTGCTGCCCTACCTCATATTTGATTCCTTACTTCAGTGGTCTCCATATTTGCTCTTAAAGGTGTCTGCTTTGGCGATGAAATGATTGACCAGGTTTCAGTAGTTTCAGTACTCTTGCTAGGTACTTGCTAACTGTGCTTAAAGACTGTTTTGCTGATGCAATATTTTATTTGTGGTATTGATGCAGTATAAGATGTAAGAGCTTGAGAACTTTCTTTGTCCTTTTTCTTAATTGTTTTGGTTTTTCCATTCATTTTCAGTCCTTGCTTCCCTACCTCTTATTTGACACCTTGTTTCGAATTCAATGGTCTCCATGTGTGCCCTTAAAGCTGGCCATGGACAGATTGACTCAATTTCTGAAGGTGACTTCTTAGTTGGTTACATTTGAATACTCTCTTGCTGTTTTTATTATATCAATGCATTTCTTTTTCTTTTTCTTTTTCTTTTTTTTGGTGGGGGGGAGGGGGGAGAAATATGAGGACTTGCTAATCATGCTTAGAGGCTGTTAATTTATTCTGATGCAGTATTTTTAATTTGTGGTATTGGGATATTATATGATGTTGCACAGTGGGAAACAATTGCAAATCTATTAAGATGCTTGTTAGAAACAAAGTTGATAATGTACATGATTCAAGTAGTAGTGAATTTTTTCCCTTTAGTTTGATTGACCAATGTTTGTATCTGAGTCTCATTTTGCTCCAGTTAGCAATTTAATTTCAAGTTCATCTGAAACTTTCTCATAGACCTATTTGATGTTATGGATAATAATTCTTGAGTGTTATTTTATGCATGGGATTTAATCATCAGTGATCTTTCACA